CATATAATTGTTTTCAGACCTAGATCACTTTTCCTATCAAATTAACTTCTGAAAAGAGAGGAAAAGAAGGTCTATCTGGTTAATTAAGAACCATGAAAACAGAACAAACTCAAAAGAGACAGATGCTACTCTTACAGGAAATAAGGCAATGCACTTCTAAGTAATCATCTAAGAATTTAGAGAGGCAAGTATGACGGCAATGCTTAATGTCATCCTGTCGGATCCAAAAACACACAATAGCTTGTTTTCATATGACGTCACGCCACTGCGTTGCCATGGCGCGAAATGCAAATGGAGGGCAGGAAGTGATTTGCTGTATTTAGAAAGCACTATAACAAACTCAAAATGCCTATGTTTTGCGTCGTTTATGGTTACTTAAATCGATCAAACCACGAGGAGTTTTTATCGTGTACCAAAAGTTGTTGTTCATAAGGGGGGAAATGCAAGAAATTGACCGAAAAACTCCGGGAAAACGGCTTGCAAACCTACGTCTGCGGTCGGGAGGAACCGAATGGGAAAATGCCCGTGTGTGCCGTGATCACTTCGTCAAAGGTGAGTTTATACAACTTAAGTGGCTATGTTTGTGTAACGTGTAAGTTAACGTGTAACGTTTACGAACTTTGTAAAGTCAAAGTATGTCTGTAAGACGAGGTAGTTGCTGATATCTACCGCCTCGATGGCTGGAAATCTTTCAATTCAGTTGAAAATCGCTCCTCTTAATAACGTAAGGATCACGTCCAACATGTTTGATTTTTTGTTTATATCTTTCTCTTGTAAAATAGTGTGAAAAGTAGTACAGTACGGACTTTCCTCCATCTCGTCCATTGCGCTCTTCACTCCCTGCCCTCCATCTGAATTTCGCGCGTCATCATAATCACGTGACTGAAACCCAGCTATTAAACAATGAATGTCTTGTGAAGTGTGGACAATTACTAACTGAATCATGCTAAAAGAAAAATGCTCAAAATGTTTTGTATCTACCCTAGTACGCTTGTACAGTATCCCTCTTCTTTTTAATTTGAAAAACTTGCATTTAAAGGGACACCGAACACTGAATGAAATTCAGTCATCAACACTCACCCTCATTTCATTCCAAACTTGTACTATATGCTAGCCTGGTTAAAACCAGACCATTCTCAGTTGTAACTGAGTTATGGTCTGGCAAAGCGTCATAGACAAATCATTTCCAGAGGGGCGTCACCAACGGACGTCGCGGATAGACCTAAACCTAATCAGAGCGATGAAGGAGATGACGTATGCAGAGCGGCGGAGAAACTCCGAGTGTTGTTCTTTACTCGGTTTTTAACAAAAAGGAAACGTTCAAATCGCTTAAAACAGACGCGATAGCTGATTCGAACGAGTGATGTTCGACGGCGGCATCCATCTTTGTAATGTAGGCTACAAAATCTGCTTCAAAATCCCAGCGCTGTCGACATCGTGTAAAGCCGCCCCAACGTTTCTGATTGGTGCCTCGATTTCGACGGATTGGAAATGGGCTTGAATGAGCTCTTTGCCAGACTAACTTTCAGAGCAAATCTAAATTTGCCAGAAGTTGTCTGGGTTTTCCCAGGCTAACTATATGCAATTCTTTCTGCAGATCACGAAAGAAGATATTTTGAAGAAGTTTGGGGTCCAAACAATATAGGATGCCATTGAAGTTCATTGTATGGACGAAAAAAAAAAAAACAGATTCAAAATATCTATTGTGAAAGACATGCATGTTGGAGCGACCAGTGTTATTTTAGTATAATTTATACACTATTATAATATTAATATTTAGCTTTTATTTTTATATTTTCAGTTTTCATTTCATTTTAGTAATTGTTAGTTTTTGTCATTTTTATTAGTTTAATATTTCCAAAAAGTTTTAGTAGTAGTAATTTTAGTACTTAAACTTATTTATTTGAGCAAATTTCCATTCAAGTTTAAGTTTAAGTTTAAGCTATCTAATATTTATTTTATTTTATTTCAATTAAAAAAACAAAAACAATTTGAATAGTTTTTGGTGTAGTTTTAGTTAACAAAAACAACACTAGGAACAACATGAGGGTAAAAAACAGATTTCTAATTTTTGTCTGAATTTTCCCTATAAGACTATTTGATTTTCTGTAGAATCGCTTAGCATCTCAAAAAGAGACCCTTACAAGCCCCGTTTCAGCAGTCCAGCAGTCATTTACATTGATGATGTAGTGTGTCAGGCTGTTTTTCACTTCAGTCTTTACAGCCTGTGTTATTTTGGGAAATGCTTATTAGCTAAGGTCAACTAATTATTTGTACGCTTAATGAAGGTCACTATTGTAGTCACTCTTCCCTCAGAGCTCTATATGTGATTGGGTTAAGCACCCTTGTTCGACCCGTTTCATCGTTTGTCTTTAGACTGTAGTGGACTGAGGAAATTACAGTCTGACAGTAGAACAATGGCCTTGTTTTTACCCTGTATGCAACCATAGGACAAATACTTTTATTTTCATTGCACTGTGCTTCAATTCCTCAAGCCCTTCACAGACAACAACAACTGCTAATACGGTCCTTTTACTGAAATAATGAGTACAGCAGACACAAAGACGAAGATGTTCTTGAGTAAAATATTTCATTAGAAGACGAGATGGCATAATAGAGTCAAAATAATGAAGCCTTACATGAAACTATAGGAAAGATGTAATGCTAGTTGAATCAACAGCAGCCTTGTCTGACAACCCATAAATATCTGATAAACAAAAATAAATATAAAATAATATTCTTTAGCCTTTCACAGACACCATAATGAATCATGTAATCATAAACAGATCAATAGAACAGTCAAATATAGAAATATGACAATCCATGAATTTCAAACTTTATTATAATAATTATAAATGCATGTAGTTATGCATTTCAAACGCTATTATATTAATTATAAATGCAGGTAGTTTTGCATTTCAAACTTTAAATCTGGAAAGTCTTAGTAATTTTAGTACTTAAACATTTATTTTAGTTCATTTCTAATTCAAGTTTAAGTTTTCTTATATTTATTTTTTATTCATTTTCAAATTTTAATTGTTTTTGTTGTAGCTTTAGTTAACAAATATTTCAATTTTCAATAAACAAAATAAAATGAAAATATCAAACTTTCATCTATAAATGCCATTACGTATATTATGGATTTATTTCCATCTGGAAAGCAAGGAAATAAGTTATATATCTCTCAAAAAAATAAAAAATAAATTCCGGATACAAAATATGCAAATAACGAATAATTCATTCATAAAGTTAGCATCCAATCATTTTCTATTCACAAATTACTTTTCTCCTGCAAATTCACAGTTCAGTTGAATCATTTATTATGACCGTATGAAAGTCTATCTCTCTGAGCCAGTAAGACTGTACAGTTCTACAACATTACCACATTCATTACAGTTTCAGCACAGCCAATCTGCAGTATATATCTCTGAAAGTAGTTTTGAACTGAAACTTCTCCCTCAGTGGGAATCAAGAGTTTTGGAGGATATACTATTTTCCTGAAACACTCAACAGAGGATAAGTTTTTCTGCTATGGCAGAGGCGTTGAACTGGATGGGGTGGGCATCTCTCACACCAGACCGTGCCGCTCTTCCTTGCCCGGGCTCTCTAAGTTGCATGGAAAACCCGGTTTATATTCCCACAGATGTCTAACAAGCTGTGGATATGGTACAGGATTATAGACAGGGCTAGATCAATAGCCTGCTGTCTCTGAGGCATCAATATAGATTATGAATCACAGCTAGGAAGTAGTGGGTGATGGCTGTTGCTGCCAGCTCCGAGGAGCTGTGTGTGTGTGTGTGTGTGTGTGTGTGTGTGTGTGTGTGTGTGTGTGTGTGTGTGTGTGTGTGTGTGTGTGTGTGTGTGTGTGTGTGTGTGTGTGTGTGTGTGTGTGTGTGTGTGTGTGTGTGTGTGTGTGTGTGTGTGTGTGTTTGTGTGTGTGTGTGTGTGTGCAAGCGAGAGTGAGTGAGTGAGTGATTTAGTCTGCTTTAATAGACTCTTTGTTTGGGCAAACACACCAGGCAGTGATCACCACCATCTGCCAGCTTTTTGCATAATGACACTAACATGCACTGATTCTTAATGATAGAGCGAGGACCCGGGGCCAGGACAAATGCAATAGTCAATTATGCTTCATCCTCCCTCTCGTGCTTATTCTTTCTCTGGCTTTATTTCTCCTTCAACTGTCGCTGCGCTATTATAACATTCACAAGGCTCACAAGGACTTGTGTATGATTCAATACTGTTTGACTTCCCCAAATCAATGGCCCGCATAAAGATCCGTCTCAACACGTCTGACATGGGCTGTGTTTAATCGTACCAAATCTCAATCGGGGACATGAGCATCGCACTTCACCCAAAATCCATAACCTTGATGAGTTCGCCCTGAGCGGGAGCTTTACATATCCAACATATTGAAGGGTCTTGATCTGCTTTCCATTAATATTGGCATGTGTCTACATCCCAAAGAGCCATCTATCACAAAAGGAGAGTATGCGGTTACTTAAACACAAACTAAACATGACATCTTCCTCACCCAGAGCTGCCCAGCACCCGCCTATAGCGTAGTGCCCCCTGGCTTGTTATCTCAAAGATTGCTATTGAATACCTGTCAAAGGTTATGGTGCCCGAGGTTGCCCTGCCATGAGAAAAAAGGTGCAATGGGGTCACTGAAATTAGCCCCGCAATATCAAGCATGTTGTGTGTGCCTCGTGAAAATTAGCCTTGCCAAGTGAGTAAATAAGGTATTACAATCCATCTAAGGCCTAGGTCTTCAACCCTGCTCCTGGGGACCCACTGTCCTGCAGAGTTTAGCTACAACACTCCTGAAATCAAACACACCTGATCGCTTGAAAAGTCACAGTCCAGGTGAGCTGAAGCAGGATGGAAATAAACTTTGCAGGACAGTGGGTCCCCAGGAGCAGGGTTGAAGACCTATTCTTCGTCCGAAAGATGGACGTACTACTGCCAGTGCCAGCATTATTTTATTGTCATGTGACCTACCAGTGTCAGTTGCGTCCCTTCAGTTACATTCATGAATCATCTCCAGTGGCCTCATGGGAGGGTAAAGTGTCCATTGCACTTCAGAATCATGGTGGAAGTATAGGTCGTCCGGGGACTTTTCGCCTACTATATGGTAGGGAAGTATTCGATTTCTTGCCTGTAAAAAAAAATTTCTGCCTTAAATTTAAATGCAATCAACTTGGAAGTTTAAGTCATTTAAACTTAAATTACATTTAACTGACTTTTAAAAAATTGTTGAATCTTGTATAACAAAGTTGAAAATTGCTGAACTTATTTTAATGAGTTAAAGTAATGCAAAAACACATGTTGTCATAACTTACTGATCATATCATTTTTTACAGTGACGAGTTGATCTGATCACAAGATCTGGTTATTATGTGCATCTCAAATGTATCTCATAACCACTTGTGATTGGATTTCATTAGCACATTATCAATATGGATTGATTTTTCTCCACACAAAAAAAGGGCACAAAAAATGTTTGGTTGAACAATCTTTCTTTTTTTTTTTGAACAGATTTCACAAAAGGCAAAGATTAGCCAATATGATGCTTCCAGTTTTTTTGAAAAAATGGCAGCCATAGAAACACGTATACTTTAAGAAAAATAATGCAATTTCTTGGCCAGTAAAAAACTTCTATTACCAATAAATGTTGGCAAGGGTGGAAAAGAGTTAATTTTGGACCAAATTTAGTTACAAATGAATGGAAGTCTTTGATGAACCAAACATCTGAAAAAACGGTGAAAAAAACACTACTTTTAAAGATTAAAATGTTCGTTGACAATAAAAAACTGCACCTTAAAACATCAAATCGCATTAAACATGAATTGTGTCTCTCCTCTGACAGATACGGACTGAAAGCCGTTACACCAAAAAAAGACCAGCAAGTAATTGGAAAGAGTCTTTCTGAGAACGGCTTATCATGACTTCTATTGCTTTTAATTCCTGGACATTATAGGATGAAAATGCCTGAATTTATTGTACCCTTTTGCCTCTCTCTCTTCCTTTTTGGGTTCTTTTTTTCTGAGAGGCTCTGGTGCTGTCAAGGTCGGAAGGAACACAGGACGCTGGAAATGATTAATCTGTCAATCTACATCAAAGCTTCCCGCTGCGTTCCCTCCCAATTGCCTCCCCAGCTCAGCGTGCGGAATGATAGGCTCTGCATTCTACTCTTCCAGCTCCAGCGTTCCCACTACAGCAGCCAGTAATATGATGACAAGCTAAAACGTAGCACATAAAATTACTTGTTGGAGCCTATTTTACATCTCTACCCCAGACTGTGCTTCCCTCTCTTATGTCCCAATGGCGGGCCATTTCACCATAAATACAATGATTACTGCTATTTTCAAAGCAGGTTCAAATCAGACACAAAAAAAACCACAATGCCATCTTTACCCGCCTCCTTGTCACAGAACACCGAGAAACAATAAACAATGCACTAACGTCCACGCAAAGGGCAAGTATCTCATGAATCAGATGTAAAATGTGCTATATTTTGAATCCGAGATACGCTTTTTCCAATGTGGTAAACAACAGGAGTGAATAAACAAAAAACAATTTCAATGGCATAATCAGCAGACATCGCCCTAGCACAGAATCCAAATACCATCTGACGTAACATTAAATCAGGACACATGCACTAAGCAGGTCAAAAATAACAGCTAAATAACTTTAAGGGGCACCGGGGCTATTTGTCACATGGGCAAGTTGTCACAAAGACTAATTCAGTAACTACAAAGGTTTTGAGTAAAAAACTGTGTTCTTATAACAAGAGAATTTGTATAAACGTTACATTTATATTGGGCAGGTCACATGTTTATTGATTAGTTACATATTCTGTTGGCCAAAACAATAGGTTTTTGGCACATCACTCAAAAAAAAAATGTTTAAATTTAAGATGTATTTGAATTGCTGATAAAAACTATCCTTAGAATCAGCATAAATTAGTTAAAAGGTATGAGCATGGTTAGAATATGGCTTTATGACAAATCACATTAAACGTATTAGTTAATGTTAAAACTGGGTAATGCAAATTAATCTTATAAGCAATTCAAATACATACATCTTAAATTTATATTTTATGTATATTTATATGCCCATGTAAAAAATAGTTATCTTAAGAAATGTGCTATATAAATAAACTTGCCTGGCCTTACCTTAAATTTAGGCCTAAATATTTTGAGAGCAGAGTTTTTTTACGGTTTACATTTTGCTTTAAAACATATCATAGGCTGTTTAATGGCAGGTTCCCAATTCCCATTGTGACAACTTAGCCAATTTAGAGTGACAAAATCCCCCCCTAATGTCATGTAACCAGGCTGTTGACTAATGGCATAAGGTCTATGCCACACTGAGAAAGTACTTGCCAAATTTCTGTGCAATGTGCATCAGATGGTATGCATCAAGAGACAACGGGCAAAACTCTTTCTTCTAATTGGTATATGGCAAGGCATACTTGTCAATTTTTCGTTCCTTGCAATTAGTACCAGCCTGTTGTGACTCAAGAGGAAAGACTGGTGTTTTTCAAAGTGCAACCAGAGCATTAAGGTGCACTTAAGAACAACACTGTGTCTTCATGTAGGTTTAATCAGAAAAAAGCACTCTTCCACATGCACTCGACTCTTTGAGCGATAACCAAACCACATTATCCACAAAGCCAGCGAATGCTAATTGCGGACGGCCAGTGTAGTTTATTAAAAGTTTAGAAATCAGTCCAAGATGCGCACAAATCCATTCGATTTTTATTAGTGCCTTAAAAGAGTTATGCGATTCTCCGGGATCCAGTCCGCGTCAATCAGCCATGGTAAATTGGATTCTTGAATAGGGAAATCCCAGGGGGAGGGTTGATGCTATCTGGATCAGACGCAGTGTTGATTTTTTCCTAACCCTTCACTGCTCGCTGCTCCTGTGCTCTCCAGGTTCTGTTCTCACTTTAGTACCAACCAAACCATAATACGTATTGATTAACTCATTATAGTGCATTATTCACTTGCTTTGGGCTTGGACTGTGCTTAAAGTCAGCACCTTAGGACCTGTCAGTTTGAGGTGGCCAAGGAGGGAGGTTTCTGGACACCTGCAAGGCAAGGAGGGGGGTAAACTGTGTAGGACAGAAGAGGTCCCATTTCCTGCACTTGTGTGAAATGGTGTCTTTTGCTGATTCACAGTAACTAGGAATTTACTGATGGACTACAAATCAAGACAGTTTTTTTCTGCATTAAAGGCTGCTAAAAATGTGTGTCTAAAACATTTGCAATAAAATAAAATATACACACATGGACATACATACATATACATATAAGTACTGGGCAACGATTAATTGCGATTAATTGCATCCAAAATAAAAGTTTGTTTACATGTGTGTGTACTGTGTATAATTATTTTGTATATATATATATATATATATATATATATATATATATATATATATATATATATATAAATAAATACACACACATACATCTATACATTTAAGAAATATTTGCATGTATATACTGTATATATATTTATATCATATATATTATATATAAATAACACATTTTTCTTAAATATATAAATCCATGTGTGCGTATTTATATACACAAAATAATTAATGCAAAATTATTCATGCAAATTTACGCAAAATAACATGCATGTATATATTTAAGAAATATTTGCATCTATATACTGTATATATATATTTATATATATATTATATAAATATTTTCTTTATAATTAACACATTTTTCTTAAATGTATACATGCATGTGTGTGTATTTATATATACAAAATAATTATACACAGTACACACACATATATTATGTAAACAAACCTTTATTTTGGATGTGATTAATCGTTGCCCATGCAGCACTTGTATGTATACACACATACAATATATAATACACTATATAATATACTGTATAAGAAATACATAGTTAAACCTTTGCATACAAAAAACTATTCACTGAATTCTAAATCCAGCGAAGAATAAAAGAGGATGTACAAAAATGACTCATAATAAGGGTGTTTGTGTTTTCACAGAAAGCACATAATTGAGAGGAAGGTTTTGCTTTCAATAAAAAGATGTAATCTGAGGTCATGGCAGCAATTAGTTTGTATGTCAATGCTCCCATGATGCTCTGCACTGGTTTCAGCCTCCCCATTAGCGGTCTGCTTGCCAGCGAGCCAAAGCTCGTTGTGCAATATCGAGATAATCAGAGATCAGGCCGATAAATGAAGTTTGATTTCAGGGGACAAGGTCAGGCGCTGAATGGACACAGGTCAAAAAACTAGCATCAGGGTGAGCCATCTCCTTACAAGCGCCGCAGACCACGCCGCATGGATGGGTCGACCCCCTTTTAATTCACAAGTCATTTGCTTCATCTGCCGTGTGAAAGCGACACATTAGGGCACCGCAGTGGCCATTGTCCAGTCACGTGACCGCAGGAAAATTAGACCGGCATGTTTTTGTATATTTTCCGCCATGTCCGCGGCTTGCTTGATTGAGTGATTTCCGATACAGCGTCAGGGCGAATCACAATCACTTAATACGATCTTTGGGAAGTGGGGCTGAAGAGGACACAAGTATTAATATAAGACTGTGCAGAAACTGACACTCTGTCCCTAAGCCCTGAGGCAATATTACTTGCGACCCCCCTCCCTCCTTCCTTGATAGAAGAAATGCTGTCTCTATAGCAATTACCTAAGTCTTTTATCAGTCATTTCAAAGGAAGAAAATTAGGGCAATTGTGTCAGGACAGTCATATGGGCAGAAATTGCACACTTATTCGGACCACTTATGTCTGTGACTTTGTTCCTGGATGATGGGGGCTATTGTTCGCTGCCATGTCTTTGAAAGCTTGATTGGGTTTGAGCAGATGTACTGTACCAGAAAGGGACAGCTTTTGTTTCCTCGGCTACTGCTTTTTATTTTAGTTCTAGTTGAATATAAATTACAGCTCTGTCTCTGTTTACACAGAGAGCCTTTTAAAGACATCATACTCCTTATTTCACCGGCCGTAACCAAATATGACGGTAAAAAAAAAAAAAAAAAATCATAACACGACTGATTAAAATATCTGTTTTTATCACATTTATGCGTTTTAGCTCATTTTTTGAGACGGCGGAAAAAAACGGCACTTGAACCGTGGCTTAAATTTA